TCACCGCCCACCCTGCTCCGTAGGACTCGGGGTGGTGACCTACACTGCACCAGGAGTTTGGACAGCCACGCATTTGTAATATTCTCGACTATTTGGCTCTCTAGTTATGTACACATCAATCACTTCTGTTTTATATACTAACAGCGATTGTATTTTTAATATTTTATTGGGTTTATATAGCATATGTAAATTATAAATGTATATTTAACAAATTTTGTATTCATATAGCCCATAATTTACAAAATTCACAAATTACAGACATCTACATTTGCTTTATTTAAATGTTAAATATATTTAAAATATTAAAACACACAGTGGGTCTTGGAAAATATTGATAAGCAAAACTTAGGTTCAAAAGCCATTTGCCTGCACCAAGATGTTATCTATTAACAGTGGAGGTTTGTGAAGGGAGGTAAAATTGCCACTTTGCCATACTTCCATAAACTTTGCTCACTAGAATCCTGTGGTGGTTGGGAACAGCATGTTGCAGTATTAGGACATTACACAAAAGTAAGAAGTACATAGGTACTGAATATTCTTTCAGTGTAGTGCTGGGCTTAACTTCCTATTGACAGCAAGTTTTCACTTGATGTGAACTTGTATTTTTTCCAAATATTAGGGAAATGATTTATGTCCAGTAGATCAAATAACATTAATGGTTACAACGTACTGCTCTTAAGATATTAACCAGTTTTGTATGTAACCCAGCAATTTTATCCTCAATTTTGTATGTAACCCAGTAATTTTATCCTAACATTTAACTTTGTGTACAAAATTTAATGCAACCATATTTTGTTTACCATCACATTAAGTATATTGTAGACACACCTATCTCCTTCACTCTTTTCATCTTAGTTGTTCATTGTGTTGAAAAATATCCTTCATGATTCCTAATTTATGAGTCATAATTTTCTTTTCAAAACCTAACAGCATCCTGACAAAACAAACATAAAACCCTGATTTCCCATATATCTGAATTCTTTCCAAACTAACTCTACTTCTAAGTTCTACAATTTTTCTGTCTTAAGGTATATGATTTTTTACTACGTACTGTGGGGAAAAATACCAAACACATAAAACTTACCATTTCATAATGTAAAATTCAGTAGTAAAATTAAGTACCTTCACAATGGTGTGCGGCATCATCATTCTACAGAACTTTGTTGTCACTGTGAAAGGAAATGTTCTCTTTTGAATGGAGTAGTCAGATAAAAAAATAGTCATCTCTATACAATCAAGAGAATAATATAAACTTATGAACTACAGTGACTTTAAAATGTATGTGAATAACCTAGACATTCTAGTTATATTTATTGTTCTTTCTGGATAACACATTACAATATTTCAGATAGTGATTTTAAAAGCTAGTCTTCTTGACATAATAATAACGAACAACTATATACCAGAGACATTTTATGGGGGGGTGGAGTGATGAATGGGATCAAAAATGGGGTGAGGGAAGTGCACGGGACTATGGTGATGGCACACGGGTGATTTGGTTATGAGAAGTCCATGGGGCTTACAACTGAGGTGGAAAAAGGCATATAATAATGTAAAACCAAACTATTATAATAATAATTTTAGAAGTTTAAAAAAAAGCTAGTCTATTTGAATTCTCATTCCTTTCCAACTTTGTCCAACTTTCCAAAATGGTTTATCTCTAAGTTTCTTTATACTCATATCCCTTTATATCCTTTCCAACATGTCCACCTATAATTTGAGCGTATTAAAACACCTGTCCTTCATTTTTGTATCTCTGCAATGCCTATTTCTGAAAGAAAATTTAACATATGTTATTCCAGGTTATATGATATAGCTTCCTAGAAATTCATTTAGTTGCACTGAAATTGTCTATTTACACACATTTTTAAAAATGGGATTTACATTCCCAAGTGTCCCGTTCTTGTTTCACTGACTATAAAAGCATCAGTGTCATCTCATATCAATTAATACACTTCTTTAATAGCTGCACGGCACTTCCATAATAGTTTCCTCAGAGTAGGATCACAAAGGAAATCCTATTCCTATTTAATTGGTGTGCTAGCCCCTCTCTCCCTTTAGTTTGCAGTGATGCAACACCTGTACTGTGAGGTGTAGATGTGCAGATTTGGCTTACTTAGCTCTCCAAACTGACCTCATCCCAACTGTGTCCTCACTAACCTTTCTCACCTATTCCAAGCAGACAGGGTACATCGATGCTATTGGGGCAGGTTTTCTAATTACAAGTGTCTCTTCACACCACTGCTGCTCACACCCAAGAATGGTTTAGCAATAATGTCTTCCCTACCCTTTCATGACCCATTTTAATGGGCCCCTCTTTTCTAAAGCAGTCGACATTACGCTCTTCCTTCTTAAGCTTCAGAAATGGGATTTTCCAATGAGAGGATGTTTGTCCTACTGATTATCAATGTTTTCAGTGCACACCATGTACTGAGCCTGGATCCTAAACTGAAGAAGGGTCACTTCTATCAACTTTCACATAGAACTTTATTGAAAACACAGACTGAAATAGAGAACCATATCTTTAAGCAACGAATAGCAGGGTAGCTTACACAAGTGACTCAGTTCTTTTAGAAGCTCAATACGAAAAAATACTGCAATCTGGAGAGCAAGACAAATATCAACAAATACGTTTTCAGCTCCAATATTCATTTGGCATCCACAAAATTATCCAGCTCAAACAAGAATTGGACAAAGTTGACATCAGCATTAAAACTGTAAGTTACAACATCAAACCAGACTCTGAACACCAAAGCACTACTCAGGGCTCTTTGGGAACATAAGGCTGATCAGAGGCAGGTAGTTAATCCATTAGTTTTGTTGTCCTGCCTCAGAATCATTTTGATTGTCTATTTGGACTTGTAGCTCTTCAGCTAACTTTTCAAATTGGTGGAAAGCACAAGTAAGTGGCTCAAGACTGAACTCCTCATCAATTAAGGCCATTGTTCCACTCTTTATAATATTACTGATATTCTGAAACATTTTAACCACCATTTGAATATTATCATTTTTCTCTTCTATGTTAAAAAGAGCCACAAATATTGAGAGAGCTTTGGCACTGAATAGTTTTTTTACCACCTTAGCATTTTGAGACAAGTTCAACAGCATACTCAGCACGTGAAACTTTGTTGTTGCATTGCCTGTGGTTAATAAGGAGAGAAACCCAGACATAAAATTGGCAACCAGTGAGTGATAATCAGTAGTTGTAGTGAGGTGTCTAAGCATTCTTAATCCAAGCAGCTGCTCAGCGGAACCCACACTATGAGCAAGGGTTTCCTCACACACCTGACATATGAATGTCTCAATCATGTTTAGGTTGGGATAAGGTGGAGCCATATTTATCATGTTTTCCAAGAAACTTGTCCTCTCTCTAGAGGCGGGATAATTGAGCAAGGTTTCAATAAGTGAGACAACACCTGAATCCCGAATAAAATCTCGGGTAAACTGAGAAGCACTTCTCATACCCATTGCAATTTTAGATATTTCATGAATAAAAGGATCGCGAATTTTGTCCATTAATACAAGAAGTTCTTCAAACTCTGCAGAATCAATTCTAAGCTCACACTGTATGCAGCTGCAGGACCAATTTGCAGGCTCTGCACTCTCCTTGGCCTTAAGGTGCTCTCGAATTTCTGTGACTGACCGATAGGCTGGATCATACTGAAAGGGGAACTCAGGGTCAGGCTGATCAGGTGGAAGCAAAGATTCCTGTTCCTCCCCTTCTGGGGCAGGTTCCACGTTCTTGGGCTTTCCCTCAAACACTTCAGTGTACACAGATGCTGCTTCTTCAGGAATTCTAAAGGGGTTTTGGGATGGAAAGCCAACTCCATGATAAGGACCAGGTATGAATTCAACAGTGACCTCTTCCCAGGTTTGTGGCCTGGATGAAGTATTAATTTCCTCCTCAGATGAATCTTTGAACCTGGAACCAGCTTTGCATACAGGACTGGGATTTAGATCAAAGCAGGCCTCATCCCTGTCCCAGAACCAGGAACCAAATATGGCCTCTTCTTCAGATTCTGGCCGGGTATCTTCTCTGGCCACGGCCCCCAAACTGGACTTTTCCTCAGTCCAGAACAAGGACCCACCAATGGCCCCCTCTTCAGTCCCTGGCCTAGATTCACAGAGGGCTGAAGCCCCAGCCTCCACATTGGTCTCTTTTTCTGCCCAAAACCAGGACCCAATAATGACTTCCTCCTCAAACCTGGGCTCTTGTTTGACCCTATCACTGTTATTAACATCTTTCTGGGTCCTGGGCTTCAAGATACTATTAGCTGCTTCTTTATTTCTGGGCCTGAATCGACTATTGGCCTCTTCTCCAGGTAAAAACCAGGATTCCTTATAGTACTCATCTTCAGATTCCGATTCAAAGAAGTCCTCTCTCTTTGCCCTAAGCTTGGGCCTGATATTTGCCTCATCCCTGACCCTAGGCCTGAACAAGTTATTTGTGTTTTCTCCAGCCCAGAAGCAGAAGGGGTTGTTGCCAGATTCTTCCTCAGATCCAGACCAGGAGTCAACATAAGAATCTTGCTTGGATCTGGGCCTGGATCGGGGATTAGGCTGATGTTTAGCTCTATGCCGAGACCTTGTATTGGTCTCTTCCCTGGGCCATGATCTGATACCAGTTTCTTCTCCAGCCCAGAAAGATGACAGCGTAGAGGTCTCATCTGCTGACCAAAACCCAGACTCATTAGAGGCCTCCTCTCTGG